TGCCCTTAGGTGGGAATACAGACATTAAGGAAATAAATATTCATGGAAATAAAGTTACAACTATACATGGTAGCAAACACAGGTGAATGGTGCTATAACAGCCTAAAAAAATAAGAGGTCGGAAATTCAGGAAATGCTTCCCTTAGAGAAGCAGCACTTGAGCTGGGAACTGAGGACTAGTAAAGAGAGTTCCTGGCACAGGGAGCAGCACATACTAAGGCCCTGAGGCAGCAGGAAATGTGGTGAGTACAAGCAACTGAAAGGAGGTGCGTGCAGCAGGGCGCCCTGATCTATCTCTGTAAAGCAACAATAACAGACCCTAAGACACAAGGCCACTGAAATACCCCGTAAGAAAATGAAAGGGTCACTTCATGCCAAAAACAAACCCCTAAATGCTTTTAAGTGTTAAATAAGCTCAGTCCTTGAGGATCCTAAATCACACCTTGATAAGTGATACCGAACTTGGTGACATACTGTATTTACACAGACCAAGTTCTGCAGGTTCCGGGACCTGCATCTTAGCTGAAGGAGGCCACAGAGGAAAACCAGACCTGCTTGTGCCTTGCCATCCCAGCAGTGAATGTATTTAAGCCCTCCCTTGGCTATTAAACCTGCCAGGGCCTGGATATCAAAGACAGCTTGCAGACTCAAATCCTGACTGTCTTAAGTAGGCTCAGCCAGATTGTGTGAGCGGCAAAACCTGGGGGATAGAGAGTGGGGTGGGGTGTTCCAAACAGGATCAAACAAAACCAAGTAACACTTTGTCACTATTCAGGTCTTGAAGTATTTCTTAAAAATAAAGAAATTCTGTAAATAAAGTTCTTCTAGTCTCTCTTTCTTGTCTAGATGGAAGACTCAGACCTCTGCCCCAGGTCCCACAGCACCGCCATTGCAGTAGACACCGAATGGAGTATCTGCTCAGTACCTCCTTCCCTGGGGATGGGCTCCCCACCCATGTGGTTTCAGGGAGAACAGCCTTCTCTGTGGAACAGCTCTGCCACTCACCCCCAGGTGATTACAAATCAACACCAAGTACACTTAGCCCCTAGCCTGCTGCTCTTTTGAGTGAAGAATCTCAAAAGCTGGTGGCATTTTTTCAATTATCTGCTATGTGGAGGAAAAACAGAAAGAAAACCAGCTCTTTTAAATCTCAGCCCTAATCCTGCATCCACACTTCTCCAACTCCATGTTTACCACTGACTTGATTCCCCCATCACTGTCCCTTGCTTATTCTGATCCTGCCATATTAGCTGTCTTTCTGTCCAATAACCATGAGGACTTTGGATTTTCTTACAAATGAAATGGGAAGCCACTGGAGTGTTCAGCGCAGGGAAGTAAGAAAAGACCTACATTTTTAAATGATCTCTCTGCTGCAGATGGAAGAGATCGTAGGGGAACAAGAATGGAAAAAGGCATGCCAGATGAACGTTATCCAGAAGTCCAGCCAAGAGATGGTAGAAGTGTGGACTAATGATTTTTGCAGAATCACTGCTGTCACTGAAAAAAATGCACAACCTAAAAGTTGAGAATTATGTTTTATTCAGCGGACATTCTGAGGACTTCAAGCCTGGGAGGCAGCCTCTCAGATCATTCTGAGGGGATGCTCTGAAGAGGTAAAGGAGGAGCCAGGATACACAGGAGTTTTTGCAACAAAGATCAGGTAGCCAGAACATCAAAAGATTACTGTAAATGAAAGAAACCCAGACACCTCAAGGTAGGCAATTTAGCACTTTTTTAGGTATGGAAAGATGCAAGAGTCTGGGCTCACTGAAATCATTCCTTTGATGTGCACCTTAATCATCTAAGGCCAGTGTCATGTTCTTTCCCATCCAGAGTCTCCTCAGCATGCACTGCTGGGGGTGGCTGCAGTGGCTGAGGGCTTTGCAGCCAGCAACACATTTGTCTCCATCCAGAGTTCCCTCAGGGCTCACCATCAGGGCGGCTGCATCGTGACGGTTTGGTGGCCACAACATCTTTTGTTTACTAATACGGCAGGCAATATTCTTCATTCACACTGATGAGGAATGTCTGGATACTGAAGGTAAAGCTAACAGGATTTACTGACGTGGGATGAGGAAAGGGAAGGAATTAAATTAAACTTTTGGATTTGAGCAGCTGGTGAATTGGGGGACAATATACAGAAATGACAAAGATTAGGAGCAGGGGAATAAGTGACAAATTCTGCTTTGGACGTGCTAAGTTTAGGATACCTGTGAGACAGTCCTTGGTGTTAGAGAGCATTCAGTCCTAAATATTCATTCAACAAATATTAAGTACCCATAGTGCCAGGCTCTACGGTAGGAACTACTCTGAAGAAAAGAACCCAGTTCTATGAAAAAAAATATCACCAGGACTTGGTTTGAGGGGCAGAAAGGACAGCTCCGTTGAGATCTGAACAAGGAAGGAGAAACACCGCAGGGAAGCAGCGCGGAGAAGCAGGAGGCTTGCCTCGGAGAAAACGGCCAGAGGGCCGCCGTGAGGGAAGCAGGCAGCACGAACCAGGAGTGGCTGCCGAGGCGGGCGGCGGATGAACTCGGCAGGCCCTTACCGGCCTCGAAGGATTTGGGACTTAAGCCTGAGAACTAAAGAAAGCCACTGGGGAAGGTGGTGAGGAAGGGACGGGGCCCACCAGGCCGGGGTAGGACTTTTGAAAATAACTTCTCTGGCTGCAGTGCGGAAAGGACCGAAATAGAACCTCAAGTGAGAACCTTTTCTCATCTCCGGTTTCCACTTCAGGACCCCAGGCACGGGGAAGGCCGCACTCCAAGCAGCTCACACATTCACACGGCTCTGGGTGCCAGAAAGTTTTTTCCCAGCTACAAACCAAACCAGGGTCGCCTGTGCGTCTCACCTCGTCGACGATCTCGTCGTCTTCATCCTCTTCTTCGTCACTGTCTTCATCGTCTTCGTCCTCATCCTCGACTTCATCATCCTCTTCCTCGTCGTGCGGAGCCTGAATTCCCGCACCCACGGCGCGCCGCTTAGGCCTCGACGCCATGTTGCCGGCCTCAGTGCGCCTGCGCAACTTCCACGCGCCGGCGCACTTCCACGGTCCCTTTGGACCCACCCATACAAGCCGAGGGGGTGGGAGGTCACAACGAACCTCGGCCATCAGTCGGAGTCGACACTGCCCCTGGTGGATTCCATCCCCGTGATATCTCAGAGCCAAGTGCAATTTGAAGTTCTACCTTGGCCTTTCATAACTCCTTCCATCTTCCCTCACTCCTTTCCAACGTTCCCTCTCCCCTTCGCTTTGTGGCTCGACCCATCTCTGATTGGTCTCTTGGGCCTCGGTGTCGGTGCGCATGCGCAAACTCCAGCTGTCAGCAGCCGGGGCCGCGGGACCCCCGGCGGAGGTGCTAGTACTTGGAACCCTGCGCGGCCGTCGCCATGGCAGCGCAGGCCACGTGGTGATGGGGCCGCCCACCGGGCTCTCCGCTCCCGCTGCCTCGCTGTCTCCTGGTGGAACCCGCGAGATTCCACCCCCAACTGGGGGTCTGGCGAGTCCCTGGTGCCGGGCTGTTTACGGCCCCACCTCCTAGCCCTTTCGAGCCTCACCAGCCCTGCGAGGTAGGTGTCGCCGTCCACGGTACCGACGAAGACACGGAGTTCCGCGGACGCGCAGGGGCCCGCCTGCGGCACTAGCCACTGCGTGACGAGTCAGGAGCGGAACCCCGAGGCCCCTGCCAGCCTGGGTGCTTGGCCGCGGCCCGGGCAGTGGTTGGCCCCGAAGGGAAAGCCCCTGGGTCGGTGCAGATGCCCCCACGCCAGGCTCAGGCCCGGCCTTGCTGGCATCCCCCAGCCTAGTCGGTGGCACAGCCTTGTCAGTGACGGAATGATCCAAATGTCTGCCTCTAGCCTACCCTCGTTAAGTGCATTTCTTGACCTGAAAGTTTCTTCAAAATCAAGGATCAACTTTAAATGCCTCAGGGCGAGTGGGGATATTTGAAGTACAGACCTGAGCCTGTTTTGCGAGAACAGAGTGGAGGGGACTGTGGCAAACTAGAGAGCGTGTACCGCGCAGCCACTGCCAGTTGTGGCCAAGTGGAAATGCCCCCTAGTGTTGTCCGTTCTGACATTTCAAGAGAACCTGGAGACCTGCATTTTTACAAAAAAACTTGATCTGTAAAACCTGTGCAATAAAATTCATCTACCAGTAAAATTCATCTACCAGTCAGGTTTATCCCATGGACTGCCAGTTTGCAGACTGTTGTAAAGAATGTTTTTAGAAAGCCATTAATTAGAGAAGACATCAGACCTGGATTAAATTTCACCTCTGCCACTTACTGTGCTGTGTGACCCTGGGCACTTTACTCAAACTCAGGGATTTGGTTTCCTCTTCTGTAAAAACAGAGAATAATAATACCTTCCTTCCTGGCTTAAATGAGAATTAAGATCTTGCATGCAAAATATTGTGCCCTATAAATTACAGAGTAAGTGCTGGATAGAAGGGTTTCTGTGGTTGTTGCTGATGCTCAGAGCAGCAGGACACAGTTAACAAGTGTGGGTTTGAGGCGTGGCTGTTTATGACCAGCAAAGAGGCCTTAATACAGTTCCCTGTCTCTTTAAGGAAAAGTGATCATTTCCCCAGCTCCAAAAGTTTCTGGGTAAATCTAAAGTGTTGTTTTTCCACAATGTGAACAAATGTTTACTGAGCATCTTCTACAGTGAAGAAAGTCCCTGAGAAAAGCCAGTGGTTCACAGGACTTAGTCCGTTTCACAGATGCAAGAACTGAGATCAAGAGAAGAACAGGTTAGACCAGAACCCAGGCCTTACCCCCTCCGGCACAAGCTGCTTTTACTCCACAGTGCCGCTTCCAAAGTCCTAAATGGCTTACATACAACCGCCCTGGTCTAAAAGCCTCAGAGTACCTCTGCCTCTCTCCTTCTGTTCCTGGCTTCCTCCTGTTGCTGTAATGCAAGTACCAGATGTCGAGTGAAAAAAAAGCACACAACGTGAGAGCTGTAGTTCTGTTTTACTTGGGTCTTACTGAGGACTATAGCCTGGGAGACAGCCTTTCAGCTGTACAGCTCTGAAGAGGTAGAGGGGGAGGTCAGTATATATAGGAGTTTGTGAAGGGCGTACATGCAATCAAGCACACATCTTGGAAAGAGGTTGCTGCTAGTCAGGAGGAGCAGATGTCTCTGCTAATGATTTTAGTGCTTTTCTAGGTATGAGAAGAGGTAAGAATCCGGGATCATAAAATCTTCTGAAAATCTCTAACTGTCCGAAGTCCTATTCTGCCAGATTTTCCCAGAGCACAGAGCGCCTCATTCCTGATCTCTGCCCTGAAATCCTTTCAGAGTGTGTTAAAAGTCAGCGACTGCCGTGGCTTGTGACTCCATCCTTGTAGAGGCGGATGGCAAACGACATTCTTTAGTTTGGTAGTTTCTTACAGCAGGAAGCTTTCAACTTGGTTGCAAAAGTGGAAGAAGAAAGGAATTCCCATGATCTGTTTCCTTTACAACTTGCATGAGGCCGTATTAGTTTCCCAGAGCTGCTGTCTCCGAGTGCCACAAACTGGACGGAGGGTACAGCAGAAATGTGTTGTGTCACAGTTCTAGAGACTAAAATTCTAAGATCAAGATGTCAGCAGGGTTGGTTCCTTGTGAGGCGGTGAGGGAGGATCTGTTCCATGCTTCTCCCCTGGCTGCTGGTGGTTCGCTGGCCATCATTGGTCTTCATCTGCTTGTAGAAGCATCACCCCGATCTCTGCCTTCATCTGCACATGGTACTCTCCCTGTGTATCTAAATTTCCCCTTTTTATAAGGACACCAGTGATAATGGGTTAGGACTCACCGGCTCACCCTAATGGCTTCATTTTAACTTGACTGCATCTGCAAAGAACCTGTTTCCAAGTGAGGTCACCTTCTGAGATCCTGGGGGTTAAAAGACCTCAACATTTAAATATCAGATTCAGCCCATCGCAGGGGACCTGCACAAGTTCAGGAACCTGCCGTCTCACTGTGTGCTCGTCAAAGCAAGTGACTGGACAATTGGTATTGGAAGTTCTTGATGGGAGCAAGTGAAGGAGTTCTGTGTGAAGATGTACATTGGCCAGAGCAACACAGTGCTGAGAAGGCTTTGTTCACTTCCTGTGAACCCCTTCGCCTGCCCCCATCCCTAGGATACTCCAGGCTCTGGTGGATGAGAAGCATCCTCGCTGGCTCTACCTGTCTTAAATCTACTCTGCGTGAATTTGACGCTGAACTTGTTAATTTGTTAATTCCACCAGGCCCTCTGTACAGAGTGGCTGGAATGTGCATGCTTCACCCTAAATCGTCCTCCAGCCCAGCAGAATACGAACTGTGAATCAGAGGAGCCCCAACCTAGAGGCAAACTTTTTAAGCCTTTCTTTGGAATCCTGGGGGTTTGCAGTAGGAAGTGCTCTTCCTGTCTGCACAGCTAGCTGTCCTTACGTCTTTACGCCCACTGTGCTTTGTGACTTACTCTGTTGTGAACTGAGTTATGCTCCTAAATTCCTGTGTTGCAGCCCTGATCCCCAGTGTGACTGTATTTGGATATTGGGCCTTTAAAGAGGCAATTAAGATTAAGTGAGGTCCTAAAGCTTTAACCCCAATCCTATAGGACTGGTGTCCTTATAAGAAGAGGACAAGACACCAGGAATCTGTCTGCACAAGGACAGAGGCAAGGCCGTGTGAGCACACAGCAGGAAGGCAGCCGTCTACA